TAACAATTAAAAGTTCTCTAGGTAAATCTCCACCATTGTTGATACCACGATTCATTTGTATAAATTGTTCAACTGATGGTTTATCTTTGACACTAGGGTTATGAAGACTTGTGTTTAACATTATAATAGCAAATGACAGAACATAACAAGTATCTATAAAAATATTCAATAAAGTAATATTATCAAGAATATTTTTTAAGCATATTACCTGTATTGGTAAAAATATTTGGGTTTAATTGACAATATCTTTCTGCAAAACACTCCATCATTCTATCAATTTTTTGTGCTTCRCCGGGAAGTCGAAAACTCCATAGAAATTGTCTAAAAATGTATAACATTGTTTATTAAATAGTTAGTAGAGTATATTTAAATTATTAAAATTTACAATAGAATTTATGATTTATTAATGGTTAAACTCTTAGTCTTATAATCAACTACAAATGTATTTGATTCTAAACAATATTTGTTACAATTAAATATTATTTAGTGAAGTGTATATCTAAAAGTTAAAGTTAATAGTTAGCAATAAATGTTTTTTATGTTTAACATTAAGTTAATTATTTATATGTTTTAAATTATATCATATATATATATATATATATATTTGGACGGGTAATTAAATCAGCTACCTTTGATATAATTATTAAATTATATTAATATAAAAATAGAAGAAAAGTAATTACAAAAAAGTAACATTGTTATTTTACCAAATAAAAGAAAGAACCACTAGATTATTACATTTAATACAATTTGGAATTACCCTACATTAAGTATATTTTCACGTTATTTCAAATACTTAGTTAACACATTTACAATACAAAACAACATTAATCAGGGCTGTCTTATAATAAACAAATGTAACTCTTTTTATAATCATATAATACCTAACCTAACCTTATAGGAGTGTAAACAAATATTGGTTTGTATAACTCATTTTAATTTCACATAAAAATTAAATACTAGGCCCTTAATTATTGTTGATTTTTAAGTTTCTAATTTAGTTTTACCTTAGAGCTTGAACCAGTATGAGATCAGTAAAATCATGCAGAGAAACAAACTCTCTTAAAACTCTTTCATTAAAATCATTTCGTTCTCCCAAATAATCGCCAATTGCAGTTTTATTTAATCCTTCTCCTTTATATAGAAAAGCAGCAACATCAGCTTCATTGTGATTTAGTAGACCATGTTCAACAAGAAATTCAATTCCTTTCTTTGGGTCCATATTGAATTTTTTTCGACCAATTGATATTTGTTTTGCTTTGGTTTGATTTTTACTAAAAAAAAAATGAAAAATAATATTCATCATAAATTAATTTAATAGTCWCAGATTTTAAATAAATGGATATAATAAATAACAACTACCTATCGTCATTGGAATCCATATTTTCCATTTCACTAACAACTTCGGATAACTCATCTTTCAATTGCTAAAAATAAAATATAACATAATAAATAAACAAAATGTTATACAATTTATACTAAACATTTATAACTGTATTAATAAATTCATGCTAAAAATTAATAACAAAAAATATGTAATATTAATAAAATAAAAGAACTTCTTTTGTTTTTAATGTGGATGTAGTATGTCTGAAACCGTCAAAATTAAGTAGGAAATGTTTTTTTTTTTAAAGAATGTTTAATAAATGAATAAYTAATAGTGTCGTTGGATATAATACATCAATAAAGTATACACAACATATCAAGTTTAGAATATAATCTAAATGAATAATGTACACTATCAATAACAACATTTTTTACAAATTTATCTATCTGTTTTAAGTACTAATATAATATTAGATAAATACAGGTGATACAATGTGTAATTATTTCATTAATTTAAAGTGTGAGTATATATTAAAGATTACTAGGTACTTATACCTAATTAAATGATAATTATTTAAAATTAAAATTATTATTTAATTTAAAAAAGTACTAAAATTTATCTGAGATATAAGTATTTGTATTTGTGTTTAGTTTTTAATTTTGTAAATTAAGTACTTATAAATTGTTAGAATTTTTCCTTAATAGTATTCATTTAAATAAAATATTTTTTATTTTGAGATAATTCTAAAATGGTTTTCTATTCTATATATAATATATTAAGTAAGTAAATATAGGATACATACAAAATAAATAATTATTCTTTTATTTTTTYAACTAGTTATTTATTAATGAATTTAATAAAAGGAAAGCAAAATAGCAATATTCTTGAAACCTAATTGTTAAATAAAAATGAAAGTAATAGGAATATTGTTTTTATACTAGGTACACTAAGGAAAAAATATAATAAGTGTGCTAGATGATTGATAAACATTAAATTCTATAGGAACTCAATTGACAATCAATGAAATAATAGAATTAAACTAATTAAATATAAATCTTATCAATTAGGAATAGTTGTTTTATTCTAAACAATTTAAATATCTAAATTKATTTCAGTATCATTTTCATAGTTAACTAAATTATACCAACTTAATAGACTGTTTAAGATACATTTATGTTTAATGGATCTTTTACAAGGTTAAACTAATGCATCAAAGTGATATATGGGAAACATGTAGGTAACATACAATTTTTTACTAACCTGTATTTCTAGTAATAATTCTGCCTTGCGACGTCTAATTTCGATTAACAATTTTTGTTGATCTGTTGAAAGTTCTAAAATAAAAATAATAAATGATTATTATTTTTCATTCAAGTATAATGAAAATATTAATTTATAGTTGTTAATGTAATGTAATGACAATGTAAACACATTTTTTCTTAATTTATAATCATAAATTATAATCATATTTTCCTTTAAAGCTTATGTATAAATTGTTGGAGTTTTAACTTTAATACATATTAGTTGTATAACAGTTTCACAGATAATATTCCTTTTTTATAATATTCCATTATTTGACAATTTATAAAAAACTAGGTTTTATTTTAAAATATAACAGAAAAATATCATTGAGTATAATTAAAACTTTATTTTTATTTATTAATTTAATTGTGTAAATACACCAAGTATTTTTACAATGTTTTATATAAGAAAATATATAAATATAAATTACAGAATGCCATGATAAAGGCAATTAAAACTTAAAACAACTTTTGAATAGTAGTTTAAAACAAATGCATTTGAATAGTAGTAAAAATTATTTGACATAAATTAACCTAACCAMACTTATACAGTTATATTTAGCACTGTACTAAAAGTTCAGTTATGGTATGAATAATTTTAATTGTATGGAGGTATGGTGTTGTATTTAAAATAGACTAGCACCATATCCTAGATCATATTTGTATGTATATCATGAAGATGTATAAAATCCTTGCATTTCAAATTTCTATTGTTTGACTGATTTAATTATGAATTAACATAAATATGTGTCATGGGTTTCAAATTAATTAAAGTGTATGATTTTAGAAAACTATGGAACTATGACCAACTTATTAATACAATTGAAGTTGGTTAACTCAAACTTCTTTAACTCAAAACCATTGATATCTCAAACTTTTAACCGGTCCCTAGCTCTAATTTTGTATGTTTGGTTTTTGGATTACTCAAATTTTTTTATGGTCCCTTCAACTGCGAGTTACACAAGTTTAACAGTATTATTTTTGGTAGATTTAAAATGTTAATGTTAATTTGTAACCATATTTTTTATATTTTGTCAGGGATAATATCTGTACAATATATGTAAAACATATGTCATATGTTAGCATAATCGTAGTAGATCAMATTGGTGGATCTAGCCCTTCAAGATTCATACTGTACTTATTATGTTCATAGAAAATACATTTATAATTGTTCATAAAACATATGAGCTACCTCACATAGATATACATGAAAATATATTCAAAACAGTTAATTCTATTTTTTCGATTATGTATGAGTTATATTTTATTAGTGTATATTTATTTCTACTGTATGATAGACAATGGAACAGCACTTCAAACAGAACAATAGTGTCATGGCACCCTGGGCATCATTAGAATTTGAGGCCTTGGACTCACAATATTATATTATGTTAAAATGTTTGAAAATATTTTATTCACACAATATATTACATTATTGTATATATGTGAGGCACCGGGCGTGTGCCCCATTTGCACAGGGATTTGCTTTGGGATAGCACTGGGCAAACGCTAGTGAAATATTGGATTAGTATRAAACAACATGAATATGATTTAAATTTTAAAAGTATAAGGCATTAATTGGATAGTATTTAATGTTAATAACTAATTATCAGCAAACATTTCGACAACCCAATTACCAGGGTTACAGTGTTATTTCCTGTTATAATGTTTTGCAAGCTTAAAAAGTACACCTACCATTAATGTTAAAAGTGTCATTGATGTATGGAACGTTCATTTTAGATCCTCTCAGTGTACTTCATACTAGCAGCATTGGAAACATGGATTAGATCATGGTCGTTACTTAACTCACGACTGCAATAGGAGAAAATTAAATATTTTGTTGACAAATCTCGTTTAGTTACTGATGATACCGATCGCTATGACACGTTTTCAGGATGAGACCTAAATTGACAAAGTTATTCTCGCACCGCACTTGGTTTATTCGTGAAGAGAAGTTTGAAAAACTGATCGTCGCAGTCGAGCCTTGATTCTAAATTTATTCAGAAAAATATCCTATTCGCGAGCGAAAAAATATATTTCTTAACTTCTTGTAAAATGTACATACGATATTGATATATTGTTATTATAATAATATCAAAACATGATAACGCGTCTTTTGTGAGATTTGAAAAACAAAAGATTTCCTTGGTCTGTGATAACGGCGCATTGGCGTGGATGACTGACGGGTGTACGGGAAGTTTTGATGTTGGGAAGGACGGGACTGGTTGACGTATCTCCGGACCAGCTTGCTGCTGCAGAACAGATAATCCCAGAGCGCGCACACCCACCCAAGAAACACAAGCGAGCGTGAGCAGCCACTTCCGTATGACGTCACACGGGAAAACTGCTACGGTAGTTTTTGTATACGGTAGTTATCGCGTTGAGAATATCATAGATCGATAATTATTTTGATTACYGCATACAAGACAATATTATCGTTGTGATAGTAATAAAATATAATGTTATATAAATAATATAATAATAATAATACAACTATACGACTATTTTGTTCTTAATTGAGACTCGAGACTTCGAGAGCCTGCTTAGGTAGTTAGAATAGCTTACTAGCAGACAGTAATATTCTWCTAAGWAATCTACTAATGCGAGTTTACGATGCATTTATTTCGACTCTCGAGGATTTGCATAGRTTTTAGCCTTAGATATCTAGCATAATTGTTGTTGTTAATGTTGTTGAATCGATCGCGTCTGGGGCTTCTTGAGATTATTGTTTGAATATCATGACAACTTTTAAATGGTTTATGGTATCCGGCAGCACGCGTTCCAGYTAATAGAARGACATTKTAACTTTATCACTTTTACGCCAGATTGAAGGAAACGGTCAGCATTTCTCACGATCACAGTTTTCCATTTCAGGAAAACTACATTAAATTAAAATAATAATAATGATACAAATGTCTTGAGACTATTGACTTACAATGTTTCTTTCTCTGATCTAGCGTGTATGAATACTGTTAAACACAAGCCGGGATTKCAACTTCAGTACCTGTTGCAAGGAGGCTCATACCGAAACACCAAACTACGTAAGTGAAATATTTGAGTAATGCCACTTTGGCTTCTGTAATAAATTTAAGAATTTCAACTATCATCCTGTTAATAGCATTTATTTTGAAGTCTAGATTTTGAAATGTAGTTCCATATATTATGACGTTGGTACGTCTGCACTAGGTAGTGTATTTACTATTTTTTGGGTTTATATAAAGCCCATAGTCCAAACATTAGATTTTGGATTAGGTACCTAGATATTTTTGATTTTTGTATTTTAAATTTTATTACTGCAATTTGCAACTGTATAGTATATAGTATAGTGTTTATCTTTTGGAAACAGTTAAAATTAACTAGGTAGTGAGTAGTGAACRCTCTAGTTAATTTATCAATTATAGTTTTAAAGAAAATGCACTAGGTATTTTATGAACATAGTAATGCAACTAGAGCTGTACAGTGTTTAATAAGTACACATTCCATGATAACTATTATTAAAGATTATTTATGATTGAAAGATATAAAAATAAAAATATAAAATAAAAATTCAATCAAATATAAACCATATACCTGTATAAGCAATATAACCAAATATTTAGGAAGCTAATAATTATTTTTGTAAATGTTTGTATGTTATATTACCTATTATAAAACAACTAGGCACATTTTAATTATTCGTAAATCAAATTGRTATAGCCTAATGAACTACTACTTAATAGGTATTATATTATTATATTATAGGTACTATATTATTATTATACATTAACTAATAGTAAGAAATTGAAATGTTGAATGTTTGCATTAAACATGAATATTTTACTTTAAGTTTTCACATTTTACAAAGGTATATTTTGAGTAATAGCAATATCATATTCATTAAAAATRGTTYTACTAATAATAATTTATATAGGAATTAAAGTATAAAATTTGGGATCYGCTAGAAACAATTTAAACATACCTTGTTCTTCAGCACTATTATTTTCTGTGTTTTAACTTATGCATTTAAAAATTATAGAACCTAATTAGTTTAAAACACTATAAATATGCATTTTTTTTTGTTCTTATCTAGAAATTAGAATTAATTACTTAACTTGCAAAATTAATTTAATTTAGGTATGGAATATATAGTTAGCTTATAGTTTACATTTTTCATGATCGATGTTATCTGTTTTATATGATCTTATTATATAATACCTAATACAAATGTATTACTGATGGTCAATGGTGCTGCAGTGAAACCTATGATTATTATTAATTATGATAAAAGCCAAAAATTTCCTTTATAAAAATGTATTCATTTTTATTTTTTCTGCTAGTTTTGGAATTTAAATTGAATCCTAAAACAAACATAAATTTTTTGTRATTGTCTTTTTTATTATTATCTTTGTTATTGTTATTCAGTCAGTACAATTTGTATATAAAATATGGTTCAATAGTTTTTTATGTATTGTTGCGTGGTCGTATGATCAACTGCGGAAATGCTCTGAGTGTATGTACCTGGCTGGTGTTGCTAGTTCYCAGATAGATGATCATCTTGGTTTTTTGCAACAAATCCACATAAAAAATTTTTATATTTTTTTTTTTTTATACATAATAAATGGACAAAATGTTTAAATAAAATAATACCAATGAGTTGATAAGACTCTTAACTATTAAGAAGTTTTTATTAAAAAAAATTTCTGGACCAGTTTAAATGTAATATCCTTACTAGATTTTTTGTAGARTTCTGTGATTTCGTTTAGTGGGGTTTGTATAAAATCAATTTGCTGTTTTAGGAATTATATTAAGTTTGATGTCAGACTGCAGTGATAAATTTATGATTTATGAGGATGCCATACAAAYGTTTGTTTTCTCCATCTTACTAACGTACAACATAAAAAATTTTATGTTCACAATAATTCATTTTACTCTGTAATTTCTAAAATTTAAGTGAATTTGCCTCTCACTTAATTTAAAGGCAAGAATTATCATGAACATTTCGGAGGATTTTGTTGAAATTATTTTTAAGTAATAATTTAAGATCGTTTAAAATAATAATATCAATAGAATCCTCGGAAATTTCCTAGATAATTTTTTGCCTTTAAATTTAACGTCATTACTGTAACATGGTTAAATTTTTCAGTAACATTATAGAAAATTTAGTAACTAACAAGTAATTTAGTTACCTATTTTATTTTGTAACTTGTAACGTAACTTAGTTACTTTTAAAAAGTAATTTAYCCAACACTTATAAAATGTATTATTGTGATGTGATTGTAAAATTTGTCGTGTTGTATGTTTGTAAGACATAGACAACAAATGCCCGTGTGGCTGTGGTGTCCTCTTAACAGCCTTTATGTATGTAACTATAGTAGGCTTGCCATTCATCCCGTTTTTTAATAGCGTGTTCCAGTCAGTCGTTAATTTTATCCCGTTTATGGAAGCCGAGAAAAAATAACTTAAATATTGTAATATTTAAATATAAAACATAGAATAATATTGTACAAAGTATTTGGGTTTGACTTGTATTGAATTTTATTTAAAAATTAAGATGAAAAATATAGCTGTATTGAAAAAAATTAATTCAACGGAAAAGTATCAATATTAGCTTATTACTAATAATTAGGGCTGGGCCRATATACAAACCGATATAGATTATCGGCCGATATTGGCAATATCGGTTTTTTTTT